ATAGGCGCCGAGCCAACACAATCATTTTAAAAACATTTTCATTATCCCATGAAATCTCTGCAACCGCTTAGGCAATCCTCTATCATCTGGCAGACCAAGACAGCCACTAATCTACTTTCAAACTATGAATTTGCCTATTTGGGACCTTCCATGTAATATGGGATCATACCGAAATGGAATCATATAATATGTGGTCTCTTGTGAATGAAATTAGATAATACACGATCTTTTATGAATACCTTCTTTCACTTACCCTAATGTGTTCAACATTTGTCCATCTGTATTGTAGTACCAGTATTTCATTCCTTTTTGCTGCTGAACAATATTCCATTATATGGATATGCCACTTTTTATTTATTCACTAATCAGCACCTGATCATTTGGGTTATTTTCACTTTTGGCTATTATGAATAATGTTGCTACAAAATTTGAGTCTAACTTTTTGTGTGGATGTTTCCATTTTGGGGGGGTATATACTGAGGATAAGGTGACTCTGTGTATAGACTTTTGAGGAAGTTCTAGGCTATTTTCCACAGCGGCTGCACAATTTTTACATTCCCAGCAACAATGGATAGGGTTCAAATTTCTCAGCATCCTCCCTTACACTTGTTATTGTCCATCCTTTTGATTATAGTCATTCTAGTGAGTCTCAAGTGGTATCTTATTTTGGTTTTAATTTTCTTCTTTTCTTCCCTGAAAACTGATGATATTCCATGTCTTTTCATGTGCTTCTGGCTATTTGTATATCTTCTTTGAAGAAATTTCTATTCAAGATTCTTCCTGTTCTCCATTTTCTTCAGAGATAGGGTTTCCCTCTGTTCCTCAGGCTTAAGTGCAGTGGTGTGATCATAGCTAACTGGAATCTTGAATTACTGGCCTCAAGTGATCCTCTCGGCTCAGCCTCTTGAGTAGCTACCACTACAGGTACATGCCACCACACCCAGCTACTTGTTAAAATTTTTGTAGATAAGGGGTATAGCTACATTGCCCAAGCTAGTCTCAAACTCCTGGTCTCACGCCATCCTTTCACCTTGAACCACTTTGCTGATTTTTTACTTGGGTCATTTTATTTATAGTTCCTTAGTCTAGACACAAATCACATCAGACATATAATTTGCAAAATTTTCCTCCCTTCCTACGGCTGGTCTTTTTCCTTTATTTATGGAATCTTTTGTAACAAAAGGTTTTAAATTTTGCTAAGGTACAATTTACCTATTTTTGTGTTACTTCTGCTTTTGGTGTCATATCTAGGAATCTATTACTTAATTTAAGGTCATTACGAGTTCAGTTCCTAAGTCTAGGTCTTTGGTCCATTTTGGGTTAATTTTTGTATATGGTGTGAACTAAGTGTCCACCTGTGTTCTTTGGCATGTGGGTATTCATTTGAAGACTACTCTTTTTCCATTGACTGTTTTTGACACATTTGCTGAAGATTAGTTGACCATTAATGTGAAGGTCTATTTCTGGATTGTCAATTTCTTTCCAAGGCAACTGGCAGGTATCAGGATGGCCAAGCATCTAGGGTGCCAGATCGAAACAGCTGGAATTACTGACTACTTAGTTTTATGTTCCAGGCATGAATTCACATACTCCTCATAGAAACTGTGAAGTGGACACTATTCTTACCCCTATTTGATAGAGGAGGTAGCGGATATACAGTGATTTGCCCAAAGCCATAGACCTAGTAAGTGGAAGAGCCAGGACTGATTTGAGAAAGCCTGAGTTCTTAACTGTGCATGCTGTAAATAAAAATTAGAAATAATTCCAGGGGTGCTCATTTTAAGCAAAAGGAGTGGGAAATGTTGGGGCGGGGGGGAAGCACAGCACGGCAGGGGGCTCCACTAGCTTGCTTTCTGCCAAGTAGTCGAAACAAACCTGCCTTCCTAGTTGAAACCCCTCCACCCCCAAGTTCAGAATTTGTACCAGCTCTAAGTTAAAACACCAGGATGGCCTTGGGGGTTCCTGGGGCGGTCGCGGCCCCTGCCCACCCCTCGGGCCCACCCAGCCTCACGCCGCTCCCGCAGGACCCCAAGCGCGGGAAGGAGTCGGCGCTCCCGCAGGCGAGGCCCGGGATGTGGAAACTCTCGCGGGAGGATATGTCGTTGCCTCGGCAACCGCGTGCCGCCCGTAAGAGATGGCGGGGCGAAACGTTGGTGTCAGGGTGAGTTCAACCCCGGACTCCTCGATATTAATCGGCTTCAGGCGCCTAAAGCCGCCAAACCTCCTTTAACTTAACGTGTGAAAGTCTCTGCCTCTTTTACAGCGACGCAGCGTTCCCGGGACGCCGCTCCCGCCGCGCGTTCAGAAACCCGCCACCCCTCGAACCGACCTCCTCGCCAAGGAGGAAGAATATAAGTAAGAAATCCGGCCGTGGAGCTCTTCTTTTTTTCTTGCATCCAGAGGAGGCTGCTTATAAGTACTGTAGCTAGAGACTGGCTGGATCTTCGGGGCCAGTTACCGTCCAGCATTCCTTTCCCAGCGCCCCGCTCATCTGCCCTTTATCTTTTTCACCTGAGGAGCTCGCCTGAGTCTCAGATATTTAAGGGGCAGAAAATTTAGCCCAAGTAAACATGTTCGTAAACAAGTTGATACCGTTGGGAATGGTTTGGGTAGCGAGAATAGTTCGGATTCCAGTTTAGCTTAATTTCTAGCAGCGCATAATTTCAATTTCGTGGAGTTTGTGTTATGCGTATTTCATTTATGTTTAGTTTCTAAATTGAAAGCTTGTTTCTCAGAGCAACCGAATTAACCATTCTCAACTGCATTGGGTGGAGTTAGAATTTCCCTTCCTTATCTGTTCTCTGTAATTAAAACTGCCAATGACAACACATGCTTTCATCCTTGGCCCATTTCTCTTCTCATTGCCTAGCTTTCACACGGCAGCCAGAGCCATCTTTTAATTTGATCTTGTCCTTCCTTTGCTTAAAACTTTACAGTAGTTTCCTGTTGTACTTAAAAAGCTATGACCTATTTGGCTTCTGCCTACTCTTATTTGATCTTTTGCCCTCTCCTTTTTTGCTCAAAACTCTCCAGCCTCTGTGGCCTTTTAGTTCCTAACGCTTTTCCTTTCTCTTTCCCTGATGGCCGTCACACTTGCCTTCTATCTGTAATGCAACATGGCCTGCCCTAATCATGCTAAGTAGGCTCTCCTGTTGTCCTATTTCATTCTTCTTGATTTTTCTTTGTGATCTGCATAATTCCTTCCAATAAATTTATGAGCTCACTTTTAAATTGTCTCCTCCATTGCGCTCTAAATTCCACAAGAGATCACGTTTGCCATCTATCTACCCGTGCAAAAAAAGTGTATTTTAACTCTAAAAAAAAATTTAACATAAAGTAACTAATTTAAAATTGGAAAACAGTCCGGCAGTTCATCAGAGTTAATCACAGAGTTTTGGAGGGAGCTTGAGGGTCCCATTTTCAGGAATCCATTTGACCTGATTCAATTACTTGACTATCAACCGAGGAGGGAATGGAAAGCAAACATGAGTGAAAACTGAAAATAAAACCGGAATAGCACAGTGTGAATAGAAAGCAAAAGTAACCTGAACAAGTATCCGTGTAACAAAAGGGAATTTTTGCTTAATAACAAAGACAAAAGCACTTTCAAAGAGAGTTGAAAGTGGGTCTCTCTTGTGAAAGAGAAATGAGAGACAGATGCAAAGGTGTAAATATCTCCTCTCTCCCTTTGAACCAGATGCAACTCTATCATTGGCTTCTTTGCACCGTTGAGCATCATTGCCTTTTTCTATTGGTCATTGATTATTGACTCTTTCTATTGGTTGTTACCTCATGACCACATTCTTTTTCCATTTTTGGAGCAAACTGTGAGTAGGGAATGACCTTTGGGCCCTTCCAGACTTGCTTGTACAGCAGGCCAGGCTTTCCTCCCACCCGCCATGAAGCTCCTTTCTTAGTGTCCCTTAACACCAAGGAAGAAAAGAAATTTTAATGAGAAAAGCTACCCCAATTCTGTCTCTCTGGCTAAAGGAGATGATGGACTTTTAAAGGAGGGCCCTTGGGGCAGATGGTGGAGGATTGTGGATCATCAGAAAGTCTCCCTGGGAGCCTTCAGAATCTTAGCCTTTGTCTCACAGAAAATCCACCATTTCTGGGAAGGAACTCAAAAGGCAGGGATTATATAGTTATTCACTGAAATTTATTCAGTGGCTTCACCAGCCCCTTATAGTTGGGGATATAGTCCTGCTTAAAGTGAGATAGCTATAGGAAGTGTTCTATCCTAGCCAAGAGTTGTTTTATGCTAGTGATCACTTGTTTTGGCATCTGTACACTGAGCTGTGCAAATTCAAGGCATGAGCAGAGTAACTAGTTGTGCTGGGTTTCAAGGCAGTTGCCTGTGTCCCAAAACGTTGAGGTTTCAGGCAGCTGTCTGTGTCCTTGGTTCTTGGAGTGCTTTTGGCTGAAGAATGACCAGATACCCCAAAGTAAGGCAAGCATGAAACAAAGTTTATTGACGAAGAGAAAGATAGGTTTCCAGTGTATGAGCAAGATGATATAGGTTTACAGAACCAGGTATGTTCACCATAGATAGCAAATGGGCCTCCATTGTCACAAAAGGGCTTGGTTACAGAGTCTGGCTTCTGTTTTACACTGCCTGGGTTGTTGCAGGAAGATGTGGCCCAATGGAGAGAAAGAGCCTTCAAACTCCATGTTTATAAAAGGAAAGCCTTTATTCACTGGCCAGAACCATACCACATAGAAGAATTCGAAATGGCCACACTCTCCCACTAGCCTGGTCTTTCCCTTTTTCTCTCCAGTCAAAAAGTTCCAACCCTTAGGTACCTTTTTCATTGGCCAGTTTGAATCAAGTTGGAGATGCTGTTTCAGCCCCCACAGAACTACAGGATTTTATAGACGTGGAAATTTCCAAGTTTTAGGAAGTTAAGTCTACAAATTCCCATGAGCTAAGTCACCATGGAGAGGACCCTGCAGGTGTATCCTTGTGGTCTCCTTGAGACCTGTTCTCCTAGATCTCATCCCTCTCTGGTATCTTCTCTCAGGTTGGGCCTACCTCGTGGTTCAGAGGTCACCTTGGAACTGAAGTCTTACTGCATAAGCAGACCTCCCATGAATTTCTCTGAAAGTCCATTAAGGGGGTGTAGACTGGTGTAGATTTAAACTAATGACATGATAATTAGCTTTTAAGACTAACAGTGTCTTGAAAATGACACTGGTGTACCTGTTGCTAGGCCCCTGGGCTGAAGAGTCTTCTACATCTTTTTGCAGTTGGCATGCATGCTAAGTTCTTATTGGTAGATTGGTAAAGTGGTCACTCCTCCCCAGGTATGAGCAATCACTCAAGACAGGATTAAGATGAGCTGTGAGGTCTGCCTTTTTCCCTAGGAGAGCTGTTTTCTAGCTATGTACCTAGCATTTGGCTCTGCTTAAATCTTCTAGAGCACTGGTATGCCTTGCAGAAGAGTAAAAGATCTGGCCATCTCTATAAGCCAGATTATGAATTCATAATATAATATCAATTTTATCATGTGTTATTTTAATATTAAACATATTGGGGCTCAGCACCTGTGGCTCAAGTGGCTGAGGCGCCAGCCACGTACATCTAAGGTGGTGGGTTCGAATCCAGCCCAGCCTGCCAAACAAC